ATTGATTAAAGCTTTCGGTTTTCTAAACATAATAAATAAGGTTTTCATTAAAAATATTTGTGAAATTTCATACATAAAGTATTAATATATTTTACCTCTTCACCAATGGCTAGTTCAAAACAAGAGTCGAAACAATCAAAATCGTTCACATCTATAAATAGTAATAAAATTAATATATTTGAGTCATTTCTTTGCTCCAAGATTTGCTTACTGAGCGTACTCAAAACAGTAAAAGACTATCTTACGGCAGTACTCTTCCAAATAATACTCTGTATAATCATTGTAATCGTGGTCGTGGTCACCCCACACCATTGTAAACACGAGAAATGAAATGAAAATAAAGAATATTCCTTTAATCATGGTCACTTGATCTTTTTTTCTATTATTCGCTGTAATATTAAAAGGTCATGATTAATATCACTTATAATGAATACAGAAGACTTTAGAGTAGCAAAATTAATTAATAAATTTGTAAATAACTAATTAGTAAATGATTTAAACATATTTCGCGTAGACAGAGCCTTACAAAAAGAGAGCTAACCCTCAGTTAGGAGGCCAGGTTATTAATAAATTAGTCAGAAAACCCTATAGGGGAGAATATTAATGAAAGCTTCTGTATTGTTCAGTCATTAGATTGAAAGAATCATTTAAAAAGAGGAACCACGAAGGAAATAGAAATGAAGATAAAGCATAAAGCAAGCCTCGTCTAGTATGATCAAACAGAGAAAAATGTTACTGCAACCTGTATACATTTCTGCATAGGAAACTGAACATTACAGTTCAAGCAGAAAGTGTCTTTTTAACGAATTATAACACCCTCGTTCGAAGTACAGAGAAGACCCTCGGACTCGGACATTCCATCGCACTGTTTTAAACGTTACCTATCTAGATTGTATTTAAATTACATTGAGAGTAAACTTACCTTTTAACAGTGAATAATTAGTCGAACGAGGCGAAATAGCTTCATTTTATAGGAAAAAGTCACACGTAATAAGTCATGTGACGAAAAACTTCATTTTCAAGTGGCGTATACTGACGTTTCGTATGTTGCAGCATTTTCTCTCCTACGCATTCTTTCCTTTACTCCTGTAAACCGAATTAAATTAATAAAGAATTATTATTCATAATTGGACAAAGTAACCNCATTGTAATCGTGGTCGTGGTCACCCCACACCATTGTAAACACGAGAAATGAAATGAAAATAAAGAATATTCCTTTAATCATGGTCACTTGATCTTTTTTTCTATTATTCGCTGTAATATTAAAAGGTCATGATTAATATCACTTATAATGAATACAGAAGACTTTAGAGTAGCAAAATTAATTAATAAATTTGTAAATAACTAATTAGTAAAAGATTTAAACATATTTCGAGTAGACACAGCCTTACAAAAAGAGAGCTTACATACCAATACCAAAATACATAAACGTCTATGGAAAATTTAGACACAAGACGTAGGAATTATTAATAAATTAGTCAGAAAACCCTATAGGGGTGGATACTAATGAAAGGTACTGAATTGTTCAGTCATTAGATTGAAAGAATCATTTAAAAAGAGGAACCACGAAGAGAATAGAAATAAAGAGAAAACATAAAGCAAGCCTCGTCTAGTGTGATCAAACAGAGAAGAATGCTACTGCAACCTGTATATATTTGTACATAGGAAACTGAACATTACAGTTCGGAGTTAAGGTGTCTTTCCAACCAATTATAATCCTCCTATTCGGAGTAGAGAGAAGGCCCTCGACCCGGACTTTCCGTTTTAAACTTCAAATATTTACATTGCATTTAAATTAAATTGAGAGTAAACTTACCTTTTAACAGTGAATAATTAGTCGAACGAGGCGAAATCGCTTCATTTTATAGGAAAAAGTCACACGTAATAAGTCATGTGACGAAAAACTTCATTTTCAAGTGGCGTATACTGACGTTTCGTATGTTGCAGCATTTTCTCTCCTACGCATTCTTTCCTTTACTCCTGTAAACCGAATTAAATTAATAAAGAATTATTATTCATAATTGGAAAAAGTAACCCTGGAAAAAGTAATTTTGCTTCCAACCTGAAACAATCCTTAAATCTCATCCTCTCTTAACTTATATATGTTTGTTAAGTAAAATGTTCTCTACCGATTAACATATTCTATATGTTTCGACATTTAGAAAATAATACCGATTTTTTAGGTTAATTAACGTATATTTTAACAGTAAACCGTTGTTTATATCACCGCTCTCATCCCCTCAATAGCCGAAACAAAGCAAGGCACACGCAACTAGTATTATTATAAAATTAAGACTTGTATTAAGAAAGTACATACCAACTCTCATAATATTCGTACAATACGTAAAATCAAGTCTTATATATCAGTAACGTGTTCATAAATATTCGAAACGATGATTTAAATATTTATTTGAAAGTTTTTAGATTTTAGGTACAGCCTGGTGTAGACAATTATGCATTGCAGGTGTTTAAAAAACCAGACGGAAACGAATGTACATACGTGTTGTAAAATGTTAGTTGCAGCATCATTTAATTTCAAATTATTTTATTATTTTGAACGTTTAAAAATATGTATTTATTTCATTTATGTTTATGGGGATGTTCCTCAAGAGATTGTCATAGGTTTTGCGTACACCTACGCCAGCAAAAAAGTAGTTAAACTTTACCTGTTCCATCGAAGTAATTCGATTTATTTTTCATTATTTTAAATTTATCACTAATTAATGTATATAATGCATTTTAAAAGGACGTGAAGTAATTGATACACTAGACAATTCATCTTTTCTCTCTCACATGGCAGCACTCTATAGCAAGTAAAATAAATATTAAGAGAAAAATATGCCTTATATAAAGTATAATTGAAAACATGTAGTATTTCACAACGTGATTTATTGTTAAGCAAATTCAACAGTTGAATTAAAAAAGACGAAAGTATACCTCATTTACACATCTCGCTTTCGGGTGTGTTTCCCTCAGACTAAAAATATGTCTTATTTTGTTTATTTTTTCACTCCCTATCTATTAGGAAATCCTACCAAGATTTAAGTATCTGTAGGCTCGTATTTTAATCATTATAAAGTAGTATAAGCTATATTTTGAAAGTAGGGGTGAATTTTATAGGAAAAAACTTGTAAATTTCTTGATTTTTCGATGACCCCCGAGTGTAGAAACATATAAACCTTACTGGCGTCGTTTTCTGACCGATTGCCATACTTTTTCTCTGTTATACATAACAGAGTCGAGAGAGTAACATTTAAATTTCCGATTTTAAAACGAGTAAAAAAAGTTATTTTTTAAACATCTGATTAATTTTCTATATTACTTATGATTTTAGTTAATTTAAGTATTATACTACTTTAAAAAATTGCAGCTTTATAGACCGAATTACAGAGATAATAAGGCCTATTGCTTATAACAGATCAGTGCAACACTACGAAAAGCAATTACCTTCCCCTAACTGACCGATATAAACATGGACCGTTTTTCCTCACATTTTTCGAGTTTTTTGGTAAAACCTAATATATATAACTACCAAAAATGCGACCTTCTGCTCACCAGGACGTATTCAGCCGTTTTAATATGACAAATAGAGGCAGGTTCAAACAGTCGTCGCCTGCTCTCCAATGGTATAGTCAAATTATTACCTCATCTCTCACAAATAATGTTCGTTAACAGAAATAAGGATTAGACCTATACGTCTACAACACAAGGCCTGTAATCCGTATTATTCTAGCGGTTTTGGGCATTGTACGACTGAAAAAACTCGTATTACTTTCATTGTTAAAAACCGATTAAGGATTAAAAGAATTTTAAATATATTTTATATTGTGTACAACGTTTTATTTTATATACAGTATAAACATAATCGTTTTACAATGTCTGTTTTGGGGCAATTGAATTACTCATTTAATGTATTAAATNTTAGTTGCAGCATCATTTAATTTCAAATTATTTTATTATTTTGAACGTTTAAAAATATGTATTTATTTCATTTATGTTTATGGCGATGTTCCTCACGAGACATTCCTCTTAAACGAGTATTCTCGGCTGTTTGCTCAGTTCTCCTCATAGTATTGATGCTATTCTCCTATTACCTAACATCATAATGATAGATTACAATTCCTTGTCGTAATACTCTCGATTTTAATAAAATGTAGCCCCTGTGAATCATACTTTTTCTGTTAATAATAAAGTCGTGCCAATCATCTAACACCTTCCAAAATTTTTTTAATTAAAAGAACATCCTAAAAGCCTCTAATAAAATGATAGAATCAAGTTACAGCAAGACAATAGTAGAGAACAAGAAGGTTAAATGTCAAAGTTTGACAAATGTGCGATCTACAAGTTCAAGATCTTACGTACACAAAACATTAAGGAGATTTTTAGCAAGTTAGCAAGATCGTAGTACAAGAACTACGATCGATCAGAATAAGGAAAGAAAATCGATCATGTTCAGGTTATTATGAATGAACACGGAAATTGAGCATAAATAAAAGACTCTAGAGGAGACAATGAGACGAAATGAAGAAGAAAAAGGGAGGAAATCCATTAAAATAAGTCCAGAATTTAGAAGAAAAACAAACACGATGAACTGTTAATCATTCAACAATATTCCATACTATTAAATATGGAATTTTAAACGAAAAAGTGACGACAACGTAAGTATAACAGGATAAAGCGAAAATTGGGGAGTTCACACGTACTTTCAATAGGGACTATATTTGCCCTGTATATTGGGACACTTTGCTTTACTATCCAAATTATTCGTACGGTTCAACCAGTGTATTCAAATCACCGACTTCTATAAAAAAAAAAGGGGGGATGGCAAACGTAAAAGACATAAAAGACAAAAGAGTAATGCTTAAATTCAATTTTAATTTCCATTAAAGATTTTAATTAATTACAAGTCGACCCCCCCTAATAACACTGTTGATTTTTTCGTTTTATATGAATTCCACGTTGTAAGAGTCACTTAGATTTTACAAATACGTGTGCTGGGCTGTGAACGGCTCACGTATTTGTAAAATCTAAGTGACTCGTACAACATGGAATTCATATAAAACGGAATTATCAACACTGTTATAGGGGGGTCTACTGGTATCTTGAATTTAAAGAAGAATTTCACACGTATTCGTGCATACATTCGAAATTTAGCTGGAAATTCTGTCACAGAACAATTCTGGATAAAACAGATTAAAGAAGTCGAATAGGATGCAAATCTGCAAAATAGAAATATAAGTTATCAATTTATTTTTTAAAGATTTAATGAGTTTCTTATTTTCATTTTTTATACGTGCAATAATAAAAACTTACATAAAATCCATCATCATATATTATTGCTTTTTCTATGTCACTGTGTAAACAATCATCGAATACTTCTATCTCCTATAAAAATATAAAGTAGAAAAGTTAATTTTTATCTGTTTTAACAAATAACTTAATTTTATATACAGAAAATTAAGTAAAACTCAAGCAATCAGTTGCATAACTTTCCCAGTTGTTATGGGATTTTGTATAGAAAGTTTTCTCTTGTATTAATTATTATAAAGATGCGAAAAAGGATAGTGATGAGTTTCATAAAAACACCTGTCTAAAGCAAATGTTCTAATATAATTAAACGTGATCTCCTTCCTTTATGATTTCCATATGTCGTCACGACTTTCATCCTTCTGGCGATTAAGAAAGGAAGCATAGAGACAGACAGACACCAGTGGGAACTTACAGGTATGTAATTAATAAATTGCAACCCAATTAACATAAAATAAATGTAATAAAAACATTTATTACTTTATTATTTATTAAAATGTACATTAAATAAATACTTTATTTTAATTTTTTATACCTCTACTGTAGCATTTTTACAGAGAAACTCTTGTATGTCATGCGGTGTTTCTGCATCAGTTATTTCCAAAAGACATTCTCCAAAGATTTCGGTATTCTAAGCATAATAAATAAGATTTTCATTAAAAATATTTGTGAAATTTCATACATAAAGTATTAATATATTTTACCTTTTCACCAATGGCAACTCGAAAACAAGAGTGAAAACAATTAAAATCGACCACATCTATAAATATTAATTTTATTAATATTCTTGTATGAGTTCTTTACTTTAAGGTTTGCCTATTATTGCTTACTGAAGAGCTGTTAAAAATCTTTTTATGTAAATAACAATGGCATAATTAATGCCTTATCAATTTCGATCCCTCTCTAAATACTAAACTGCTAAAGTTTAACAGGATAAATCTCCCTTAAAGGAACCTCCCTGAAAAATTTGAGGAGTTTTTCAAAAAAGACACACGAGTTATTAAGCATGAAAAAGGGTGAAGAAAATCGTAGACCATAAATGTGTTAGTGTGTGTATGGACAGCACATATAAAAAGACTGATAGTGATGTAACAGTTGTGTGTGCGTGTGTACGCAAAACAGTAAAACACTATCTTACCGCAGTACTCTTCTATATATTCTATAAAATCATGGTCGTGATCATCGTCATGGTCACCCCATATCATTGTAAACACGAGAGATGAAATGAAAATAAAGAATAATCCTTTCATAGTGGTGACTTCGTTTATTTTCTTTTATTCGCTGTAATATTAAAAGGTCATGATTAATATTACTTATAATGAATACAGAAGACGTTAGACTAGCGAAATTAATTAATTAATTTGTAAATAACTAATTAGTAAATGATTTAAACATATTTCGCGTAGACAGAGCCTTACAAAAAGAGAGCTAACCCTCAGTTAGGAGGCCAGGTTATTAATAAATTAGTCAGAAAACCCTATAGGGGAGAATATTAATGAAAGCTTCTGTATTGTTCAGTCATTAGATTGAAAGAATCATTTAAAAAGAGGAACCACGAAGGAAATAGAAATGAAGATAAAGCATAAAGCAAGCCTCGTCTAGTATGATCAAACAGAGAAAAATGTTACTGCAACCTGTATACATTTCTGCATAGGAAACTGAACATTACAGTTCAAGCAGAAAGTGTCTTTTTAACGAATTATAACACCCTCGTTCGAAGTACAGAGAAGACCCTCGGACTCGGACATTCCATCGCACTGTTTTAAACGTTACCTATCTAGATTGTATTTAAATTACATTGAGAGTAAACTTACCTTTTAACAGTGAATAATTAGTCGAACGAGGCGAAATAGCTTCATTTTATAGGAAAAAGTCACACGTAATAAGTCATGTGACGAAAAACTTCATTTTCAAGTGGCGTATACTGACGTTTCGTATGTTGCAGCATTTTCTCTCCTACGCATTCTTTCCTTTACTCCTGTAAACCGAATTAAATTAATAAAGAATTATTATTCATAATTGGAAAAAGTAACCCTGGAAAAAGTAATTTTGCTTCCAACCTGAAACAATCCTTAAATCTCATCCTCTCTTAACTTATATATGTTTGTTAAGTAAAATGTTCTCTACCGATTAACATATTCTATATGTTTCGACATTTAGAAAATAATACCGATTTTTTAGGTTAATTAACGTATATTTTAACAGTAAACCGTTGTTTATATCACCGCTCTCATCCCCTCAATAGCCGAAACAAAGCAAGGCACACGCAACTAGTATTATTATAAAATTAAGACTTGTATTAAGAAAGTACATACCAACTCTCATAATATTCGTACAATACATAAAATCAAGTCATATATCAGTAACGTGTACATAAATATTCGAAACGATGATTTAAATATTTATTTGAAAGTTTTTAGATTTTAGGTACAGCCTGGTGTAGACAATTATGCATTGCAGGTGTTTAAAAAACCAGACGGAAACGAATGTACATACGTGTTGTAAAATGTTAGTTGCAGCATCATTTAATTTCAAATTATTTTATTATTTTGAACGTTTAAAAATATGTATTTATTTCATTTATGTTTATGGGGATGTTCCTCAAGAGATTGTCATAGGTTTTGCGTACACCTACGCCAGCAAAAAAGTAGTTAAACTTTACCTGTTCCATCGAAGTAATTCGATTTATTTTTCATTATTTTAAATTTATCACTAATTAATGTATATAATGCATTTTAAAAGGACGTGAAGTAATTGATACACTAGACAATTCATCTTTTCTCTCTCACATGGCAGCACTCTATAGCAAGTAAAATAAATATTAAGAGAAAAATATGCCTTATATAAAGTATAATTGAAAACATGTAGTATTTCACAACGTGATTTATTGTTAAGCAAATTCAACAGTTGAATTAAAAAAGACGAAAGTATACCTCATTTACACATCTCGCTTTCGGGTGTGTTTCCCTCAGACTAAAAATATGTCTTATTTTGTTTATTTTTTCACTCCCTATCTATTAGGAAATCCTACCAAGATTTAAGTATCTGTAGGCTCGTATTTTAATCATTATAAAGTAGTATAAGCTATATTTTGAAAGTAGGGGTGAATTTTATAGGAAAAAACTTGTAAATTTCTTGATTTTTCGATGACCCCCGAGTGTAGAAACATATAAACCTTACTGGCGTCGTTTTCTGACCGATTGCCATACTTTTTCTCTGTTATACATAACAGAGTCGAGAGAGTAACATTTAAATTTCCGATTTTAAAACGAGTAAAAAAAGTTATTTTTTAAACATCTGATTAATTTTCTATATTACTTATGATTTTAGTTAATTTAAGTATTATACTACTTTAAAAAATTGCAGCTTTATAGACCGAATTACAGAGATAATAAGGCCTATTGCTTATAACAGATCAGTGCAACACTACGAAAAGCAATTACCTTCCCCTAACTGACCGATATAAACATGGACCGTTTTTCCTCACATTTTTCGAGTTTTTTGGTAAAACCTAATATATATAACTACCAAAAATGCGACCTTCTGCTCACCAGGACGTATTCAGCCGTTTTAATATGACAAATAGAGGCAGGTTCAAACAGTCGTCGCCTGCTCTCCAATGGTATAGTCAAATTATTACCTCATCTCTCACAAATAATGTTCGTTAACAGAAATAAGGATTAGACCTATACGTCTACAACACAAGGCCTGTAATCCGTATTATTCTAGCGGTTTTGGGCATTGTACGACTGAAAAAACTCGTATTACTTTCATTGTTAAAAACCGATTAAGGATTAAAAGAATTTTAAATATATTTTATATTGTGTACAACGTTTTATTTTATATACAGTATAAACATAATCGTTTTACAATGTCTGTTTTGGGGCAATTGAATTACTCATTTAATGTATTAAATATCTTAAAATATGTTTTATAAACTATTACAATACATCAATAACTGCGAAAATATCTAAATTATTGTTTGTTGTTTACGTGTAGATAAAGTGAAATAGTGTAACCCTAGTATTAGAATATTAAATTAAAATACTATAAAGTGAAAAACTCTTCAATGTATGTTTACATTTCAGTGCTATGTACAGTATATTATATTGTCTACAGAGATAATTGTCAAGTTTTCTAGCTGAAAGCGTCTTGTCTTTCGTGTTTTCTCGCGACTTTCTGACCTTCTGGCCGTATTCTGCCGTTTAAATATGACAAAGATAAGCTGACTCAGGCGGTCGTGGTCAGTTCCTCCAAGAGTAAAAGTCGCCACTTCGTCTATAATTCGTCGCCTATCCGTCTACGACACAAGAACTTGTCGTCAGTTCCTCAGAACACATAACACTACTGACAGTAAACTTATTACTTTATATCGTCAAATTTCAAAGAGAAAGCATCGGTTATTCATTTGTTACAACTCGTTGTTTGTCAGACACTAGAGTATTAAGACTTTTGTGTTTCTGCAGTCAAAAGTTAATCAAAAGATCGCCAAGAAATTTACCGATGTGAGAACTTTCAATTATTTGTTTCATTCTTCAACGTATAACTTACATAAGTTTTAGCAGAGCATCGCTTATTTCGTAGAACTCCGGTCAATTGAATTAGAGAAGAGAAAAAGGAATACAATCCACTTAACACCTGAAAACAGTTAAAGTATAATAAATATAATAACACCAAAAATACTCTTTTTATTTATGAAAATTCTCAAGTATGTCTGTTTATTTAAAAACTGTACTTAAAAATATATATTTGAATTAAAGCTGTAAAAATGATTTTATATTATAAAAAATATTACATAATGTTACAAAATAAAAAATTTTACACACGTTTATCGAAATTTTAATTGGAAGTGTCTTTTTGCTAATTTTAAACAATGAACATAGTAAATATCTGCATTTTACCATTGAAAATTTATATCTGCCGTAATATATGAATACCGTATTCTGCTAATAAAACTGAAGACAACACTATAATACGACGTATTTACCCTTATCAAGAAATTTCTTTTTACGTAGAAAAATCCCCACACAGATATCCCGAAAGGTCTTCCTCCGAATCTCTTTATGAAACAAATTATCTGAAATTATGCAATTATTAATAAATTACATAAATTCGGCTACGAACATTAATAAATAACGTACTTTAAATCTGTATTTCGGTGAGAAAATAGAAGAGTTATACTTTCCTATGTTGATAAAACTGTCGTATATCTGAAGTATATTTATAAAAAATAAATATTAAGTTCATTATTTAAACAATTACATTTTATAACTTGCACATTGATTAAAACAATACTCACGATTGAGGTAAAAATCGATAATGCCCACGACACTATTAAAGCTCCAATAAAAAATGTCACTGCAATTATTGCGATTGCCACACGAAAAATTACGTCAAGACGTACGAAGAGAGTGATATATATAAAAAAGCAAGTTTCATAGACGAAAAAACTGTAAATAAGAGGGAAAAACGCCTTCCATTTATCGTTGATTTCTTCAAATATCTGCCAAATTTCCCAAAGATTTCTGGTTAGTTTATCAATGAACGATCTGCTGGCGTTAATTGCAAGTTTCAACTGAACAGACATATTTATCAACCTTCTTCCTATAAGTAAGAAAAAAATTACAAAAAAAAGAAGTATACACACTATGTGAGAAGCAACATAAACGAGCCAAAGTTCGATGCTAATAGCACAAAGGAAAGACATTTTATAATTGAGTTGTGCCGATTTTAATGCAAAATAACCAACGTACGAACTCATTGTGGAGCAAGATAAGAGAATCAAAACGTAAAAAGAAAAATAATAAATAATGTAACCTTCATGTTTCTCGATAAATTCTTCTTCTTCCTTAAAATCTTTCATCAAATAATGAATATTAATTTTTCTTCTTCGCAAAATACTGAATTGTAAAGCTGTGTACAAGGAAGCATTCCATGCAACGAATATAATGTAAAATTTATTATTTTCAAATATCAAAAATATTTGAATGCAAACGCCTTCAGATGTGATCATTCCTGTTAGCATTAATACCATCGTCCATAGAAATATTTCGAGGAAATTCGTATAAACTGTAAAAAATTTCCGATTTCTTTTCGAGTTTTCTTTTTGACAATTGCATGTTTCGAAAATATTCAAAGCAAATACTTCGAAAACAGAAATTAAAGGTCGAAGTTTTGTGGCAATGCAATCGCTGTATGGTGAATGCATTTTGTACGAAACAAGTGAAAAGATTATTTTTCGTTGTACAGTCACGAAGTGCACCAAAGTTAATCGTTGACTTTAATTATAACAGAATACAGATTCGGCAATATACACTGTTTGCATATTGAATACTTCAGAAAAGTACAAAAGTTAGAATAACGCTGTAAGTGGTTTGTCTCCGCTAAACGATTCCTTGAAGTAAATACGTAAACCAAAAGATGGTCAGTGATTAGTTCATAGAGACAATTGTGAAGAAAATCGATGGCGTGACATTAACCAGGGTTTTATCCAATCACGTTACGAATCGTACAAGCTATTGTATTTGTCTTTTCTACTTTTCTATTGTAAACATTGTGTCTATGATTCTAAAAGGAATTCCAATGCTATTTAATAAATAGATATATTACTCAGTTATTTATAATACATAAATATTCCATGCAGGTAATACAATCCTTCGTGGAATTCATAAAATTAAAGATATACAATATTAGATTTTTGAAATATTATTTTATATAAATCAGTTTATATAAATAAACGAGCATTTATCGAATTTAATCTTGATATTTACTCCGAACAATATAGTGTATAATTGTATTAAATTATACACTATATTGTTCGGAGTAAATATCAAGATTAAATTCGATAAATGCTCTTTT